TTAGAGGATCCGTACTACCCCAAACGACACACAGCGGAGGCTGGGGGGGGGGGGGATAGTTGGGGGGGGTTGAACCCCAACAAGTTTAAGGGTGGCCAAGGTTGAGAAACACTGTCCTACTATCTCCCCAGATTTTAAACTGTAAGCTCCTTGGAGCAAAAAATCAACTTTTTCAACTCTAGATATGTCCATATTACTTTGCAAACAAGGTCATGCGACAAAGCACAAATTTTTCTTATGGTTTTTTTTTTCTTACTGTCTTCAGAATTTAGGGAGGTCTTCGAACTCTTCGACAGAACTCCAAAGGGTGAACTGAAAATCACTTACGCGCAGTGCGGAGACGTCTTACGGTCATGCGGACAGAATCCCACCCAGGCAGACGTCCACAAGGTCCTTGGCCGCCCGAAACCAGACGGTTAGAACCTTCTCCACTGTGTTGCGTGATGGCAATTTTGCAAAATGAGTGTTGTTTTCAGAGCTGACTGAACCATTTTTCTATAATTGCATGAGACATTTTCCCTCTGTGTCTCACCATCATGCACGGTTTCACTGTCTTGATTTCCGTGTTTCTCCCATCAACTTAGCTAAATATCTGCCTAGGAGTTTTCACTCCCCTGTAATAAAAAGGACCAGAAATTCATTGTTGTTTTGTAATAATGGGCAAAAAAAATGGCCTTGTTCATCCTGCTTTAAATTCTGTATGAAATTTAAGAAGTTGAGATTAGATCTTCTGGATGAGGCCCACTTAGTCCAACCTTTTGTATCTTATGGAAGCCAACCAGATACCTCTGAGATGCTCCCAAGCAGGAGAGGGAGATCCATCCTTCTCTAACTGTTGTTCCCCTGAAACTGGTGATTGAAAGCATGGTGCCCCCAACCTTGAGGTAATATGGGGTCTCCAAGACTCATTGCCCTCAATAAGCCTGTCCTCCATCAATTTATCCAATCCCCCCTTTTTTAAAAATAACCACCCCAGGTGGCCATCACTTTCTTGTGACAATTCCACAGACTAATGATAATCTCCAGTATCATTCCCCCCAAACTTTGAAGAGATGGACATCATTTGATGCTTGCTTTCAAGCCTCTATAGTTTCTTCCTAGAATTTGGTGTTCCCCCATTGTCTCCCAAACCATTTTAGCTCACAACCTTCACCATGGCTTTCTGCTGTGAACTCCAGAGTTGGGACCTGATGACTAAGAAATGCTCTCTGTTGCTTCTGCAACTTCAATTGTTGGAGGACCCTGGCTGGTCCAACATGTAAGCCCCCATCTGCCTTGATGGCACCCTCAATGGCCATATCTGAAGAAACATGGCAATGGCTTGCCTGGTAAGGAATGAAATGCAATGTTTTGGTGAACCTTGTGGGTGAAAGAAATCTCTTCATCTTTTGGCAGAAATGAACTCCAAGATGTTGGACTTTGATACTTTCCTGCCCATGCTTCAGCACATCGCTAAGACCAAGGACACCGGTACCTTTGAAGATTTCGTGGAAGGCCTTCGGGTTTTCGACAAGGAAGGAAATGGGACAGTCATGGGAGCTGAACTTCGCCATGTTTTGGCTACCCTTGGTAAGACTGATCCCACAGTGCACACACGTTTCAAGGAAAGGGTCTTTGGTTGCAACATTTCCCCACACAGACATGCAGCAAAGCAAAGATGGGTCAGCCCTTCAGCTGGATTGTCTGCATGTGGGAAACAGCTGCATCTTGTCAATATGGTTGGACCTTCCCAAGATGGGGTGGTTTCTTCATAAATGGGACAGAGAAGAAATGCGGAGTCCTCGGGGTTCTCTGAGCTTGGTCCTTTTCTTGCAAATGTTTCATTACCCGGCTAGGTAACCTCTTCAGTGCCGGAACGGGATGAGAAGAAACGGCACTTGAAAAAGCGAGGGAGCCTAGGAAGAAGCTAAGCCAACCAATTTCTCAGCCTGGTCGCAGAAGCCCCAAACGTCAGCTATTGAAGGGCAAAAAATATCAGAGGAGATAAATCCGCTGCTAAACTTCTAATGCCCTTGCTGGTGTCATTGAATACCCCTGCACGAAACATTACTAAATGTTTTAAAAAAGAGAGCGTTGACCACGATGAGTAATCTGACCTAGTGGTGCAATTTTGTGGTTGGAATATTCACGGGAAGGTGCGCCTGAGAAAAGCCAACACGTCTGACCAGAAATAGGAAGTAGGAACATGTGATGAATATGTTGGTCAGCCGCCCAATGGTTTATCAGACCATCTTCCAGCTTTTGGGTAAATCGCACTCCCATTTTTAAGTTTCCTTCTGCCATTTTGAAATTATCTTTCCCCCCCTTCCTTTTCTGTTTTCCACTGAGTTCAGAGGTTCTTGAAAAAAATCTATTTGTGCATCACATTGTGATCAACACAAGAGTAAACTTACACGGATTTGTATGAATTCCTTTAATTTTGCAGAAATGTTTCAGGTTCATCATTCAATGAATGGAGTCCACACCAAGATGTAGCCCATTTTGAGGTTTACTTGTTTAGGGACTGAGTTCAACCACGGTGGCTTATTCATCAAACCATGATTTACAACCCGGCTGAGAGCAATGTGTAAACACAGCAGCTGAATTTGGAGGGGAGTATTGAGCTGACTGTGGCTGATCTAGGAAGCTATGAAGGGTCCACCCTGGATAATATTTGGATGGGAGACCACCAGAAAATCCCAGGGTTGTAGGCTAGGCTGGGAAGTTGAGATAGCAGCACCCTGGCAGGACACAATGGCTCAAGGGTGCCCTTGGCTGTTGTCCAATGTATAAGGATTTCCTTAGAAGGTTATAGGAACCAGGCAATCAGATAAACCATAACCTGGTTTATTTCTTTGGGAATTCACATTTTGTTTACCCTGGGTTAAGGGTTTGGATCTTTTGTGAACTGCACCATCTTATCAGGACTAAACTAAGCAATGCTTCTCTAACCACCTTGCATCCATTATAAGCCCCAAACAGGACATCAGTTTGCAGATGACACATATCTTTTTAGTGACGGTGTCATAACACTGTGACCTCCCTGGCTGATCTCCTGCGAACAGCCAAGCCACTTTGAAATTCTTTGGGGAGAAGGATTAAACACACACCAACACCAACACACACTTCTAAAACTTGATTGCACCGTCTCTTGGGCATATGGCCCTTATGGGCTGAATTTTCCTTGAACATGAGAATGTGAATCACAGAGAGGGGAATCTTGCAGGCCAGCTAATTATTCTATGCAAGATCTGACAGACGTCCATCCAACCTCTGTCTGAAGGAGAACTCCCTGTTCCAGCAGCTCACGGCTCATACAGTCAGAAACTTCCCTCTGGTGTCCACCCTGAGTCTCCTTCCTTGGATCTGGTCCTGCCCCTGGGGACAATAGACAATAAGTCCTTTCTCTCTTCTTAGGACCATCCTGAAGCCTCCCTGCATTTTCAGGTGACAATTTTTGAGTTATGTTCTCTTTTCTCCCGTTCTTTAGGAGAAAGATTAAGCGAGGAGGAAGTTGATAAATTAATGGCTGGTCAAGAAGACTCAAATGGGTGTATTAATTATGAAGGTATGATGGCTCCAAAACAGATGACCTTCATCCACCATATGTTTTGGGTTCTAATCGGGCTGAGCCATAAATGTGCTCTCTGGGCTCCAGCTGCCTGGAGGGAGGATGGGGGGATCGTAAATCACATCTCTGGGAACAATCAATATGAAAAAGAGGGCAGGGTAAATGATTGCCCACACGCTGCTCTTCAGACCGGGGGACCAGAAAAGCTGATCCAGTGGAGCATGAATAATGCAGGTCATCTAAGTGATTTCAAAGTCCAGTCAGGGGGAGGAAATGCCACACCACGTTTATGTGGTTCCTGGATGAAAAAAAGCATCAGCAAAATGCGATTTGGGGGAGGGGGAGAATATCTACCATTGTAGGTGCCATTAAGTTTTTCTAAAGGATGACATTTTCAGAACATCTAGAATGATAGTATCCCATCTAGATCTGGGAGGGACATGGGAGATTTGGAGATTTATAATATGCAGAAAGAATGGGATCCTTGCAATCATTTTCCCCTCTCTTCCTATTTATTCTAGCGTTTGTGAAACATATCATGGCAAATTAAATGGCAGGTAAGAGGATTATTATTTTGATTCTACTATGATTGCCTTTAGCAGCTTTATTTATGTGTTCTCCACGCTCTGATGGATGGCTGATGGATGCTTAAATAATGCAGCACGTTGATATCCCTTTGCGTATCTCAGAAACAGACATTCGTTCATTGCTATAATTTCTTTTCCCATCAAATTGAAGGAAATATTTCTGATCATTTGTTGTTACACTGACCTGTGGCTTCTGACTAAGCAAGTCCATGCTCCATCAGAGTGTAAAAGATCCGAATGTCAAATATACATCGGTTAGGTCCAAGGACTCTCATTTTCCATTGTTGAGTTTTTCCCTTGACTGCTCCAAGAAAGCCCCAATGTGATAGGCATGGATGGCAAGGCAAATATAAATCCTGGAATTGGGGCTGGAGCCAAATGAATAATTGGGACTGATCTAGAAGAAAGACCATCCTGAGGGGATTTGAATCCAAGATTGAAATCATATAGTCCACTACATTTTCCTAAATTGAGGAAACTATACTGCAGTAAGCAGAGACCATTAAAGCCCATAAGGTAGCTAAAAAGAAAGGGTAGAAGGATTGCTAATCAAATGTACAGGTAACCAATTTTATAAATGATTCAAAAAAACTTGCACAAATTTGACAAACCATTATTTGGTATAGATCAATATAAAGTATTACACGACTGTAAGTGCAGGAAATCAAAGACCCATGTAGAAAATGAAGAGACCTGGCTTAGGAGCATATGGAAATTAGTGAATGAAAAGTTGAATATGAGCCACAGGTGCTATGGGTCAACCCTACAAGGTAGACCTACCTCTACCTCTAAGAAATAGACTGCAGGCAAGCCTAAAAAGTTACTTTTATTTAGATTGGCTCTGCTAACATGATCTTGCAAGTATGATTGTATTTCCCCTCTTCTGTCTTTGATATTCATATGAATTAGGGGGGTGTTTGAGATGTTTTTGTAAGTCACTCCCATCCTCTGGACTCAACCAACATTTTCCTTTTGGTAACAGTTCTTCCCTCTTTCCATCAAGGTCATCCTCTTTACTCTCTATATCAGTGTTTCTCAACCTTGGCAACTTTAAGATGAGTGGACTTTAACTCCCAGAACTCCCATGGCTGGGTGGGGAAATCTAGGAGTTGAAGTCCACTCATCTTAAAGTTGCTAAGGTTGAGAAACACTGGTCTATACTATGCAATTGCTAAAAAAAGCAGATGCATCTTAAACTGTGGGCCAGAAATGTATTGCCGAGGTAATTGGAAGTAATAACTCATTCAGTGTTAGGCAGGCTGTGCTCAGTTGGGTGCGTGGCATTTAAAGAAGGATGTTCCGGAGAGGAAGGATGAAGATAGTAAGGAAGTGGAGACATATTTTCTCCTACCACTGTTCCCCTACATCTAATATTTGAAGACCTTCTGCCTCCAACCCAGAGATCACTTGGAACCTTCAACACTGAGACCCCTTCATAGACTTCTCCTCCATGTTTTTACCCACTCCCCTTTTCAACAGGGTGGTTGTTGTGGGGAAAATAGGAGGCTGGAGCAGCCAGTCTTAACATCTGGCTGACTGTGTGACCAACCATCGTCATCATCATCATCATCATCATCATCATCAATCATCTAGCTTAGTGGCCATCACCATCCCAGGATATTTCCTACTTGACTACTCTGTGCTGAACACTCAATGTTCATCTCAATGTTCTTTGAGAAGCATCACCTTCATTCTGACCCAGAGGATTTTCCCTTTGGAGAAAAAACTCTTTGGTTTTGAATCCCAGATCCATCCAAAGCTATGTTTGAATGATGCTTTATTAGAACCAATCGGATAAGGCAAAAGGCATCCAGGCTTTCATATTTTCCAGCCTTCTAATCCATCAGTGGGTTTGGATGGACTTTGGAGACCTCTCACGGACCTCTGTAGCAATAATTGCTTTTGCTGTTCTTTCGCTGAAAATAGATCAAGCTACAAAAAACTGTATTCTGAGAGAAGTACAGGATTTTCCAACAGCATTTTCTTCTGTTCATTATCTATCTCTATCTATCTATCATGTATTCATCCATCCATCCATCCATCCCTCCATTCCAAACTCAGAATGGTATGAAGACAGTTTTTGCATTATTTCTCAGTACAAAAACAGCCAGCAACTGTTTGCCCCAATACTGTGATGACTAAGAATCCATGTTGATATATTTCTCCCTCCTGGGAAAAGTTTGACCACGCTTCCTTCTGCAGAAATGTGTGGGTACATTCCCTAGATAAAGGAGCGAAAAACAATCCAGATTTTGCTCTATCGGTTCCTGTTTTTCTCTGCTCTGGTTTATTTATCATCTCCTGCTTCCTGGTCTTGTTTGCTTAGTAAAATCTGGAAGTATCCAAGTTTCTGCGGCCTCAGATTGGTGGGATAGTGGCCTCTTCAGTCCTTATCTGTTCCCCCGACCCCCCAGGGAATGAAGGAACAAGGCAAAAATCAATCCAGACTGCCGTGTTATTGGCCGCACGGTATTAAATCCGGGGCTAAGCTGAGTCTGGCTTTTCTCTTTTGCGCACAAATTTGTTTTGTTGGAAATGAGCTTGGTTAGTCTGAGGCTCAGTGCGTTGCAGGAACCCAGCTTCTGGCTTCCCAGGTTGGATGAACGAAGCCGTAGGATCGTGAAATGGAAGGGAGGGAAGGGAACCTGGAGATCATCCAGTTCAACCCCCTGGCTGTACGGAGTAGCAGTGTTCCCGCTAGGTATTCTGGGATTTGTGGTCCTCCACACACCTGGAGGGGCTCCGGGTAGAATTCTAGGGTGCGGTTAATGAATTCCAAGGAAGGAGATGCCGAGCGTAGATCGAGAGACTGAATATATTTGCACACACCGTATCTTCAGTTTTATCACTGATTTGTCTTAGGCCATTCCTCGTTTCAAGTAATCCCAAACGGATTATAAGAAAACATGCCCAAGTTATATGCACAGGTCCAAACAGCGAAATAACCATTCTGAATATATTTTTGAGAGCCTTGCCTCTCGGTGTTGAAAAGGAAATGGCTCCCTGTTAGATTCTGCCAACAGGATGCTTGAAAAATAACGTTTTGGGGGGATGGTTGATAAAAGTAGGGAGGCAGTTTGGGGTCGTGGTAGTGGTCCCCTCCAGGAACCCCAGAGGCAGAGGATGAAGGAGGCAGTCCCGCCCCCATGGGCCACCCACTGAACGCAGGGAGACTTCCTCGGACAAGGGAGGCTCCATTTCTCTGGGCTGCCAAGAGCTCCCCCTGCCCTTCTTTCACTAGGCTGGAGAACCGGGCCTTTCGCGCCCAACGGAAGGGAAAGGATAACCTGCTTCTGCCTCGGCTGGGCTCTCGGGAGAGCCCCGTCAAGGGGAAGGGGGACCACGCAGCCTCCATCTGGAGGAAGAGCTGCTGGGGGGCTCCTTTTCCATTCCGTTTCCTTCCTACTTTCCCCTTCCCCTTCCCCTTCCCCTTCCCCTT